GTGCTACTGACTGGGACACAGCTGCCTCTGACGATGCCTAAACGGGGGTCAGTCAAATCAGTGTGGATAGAAGAGCCTCAGTGGTACTCATGTTCTACTCACATTTAATTTTTCTTACTGCAGATTTGCAGTAAGGGTGCACAGCTCTGGATGGCCCCATCTGTAGTCTGGTTAAATAAAAGTCACCAAAGTCATGGTCAAGAAACTGGAGAATGCAACTACAGAATACACTGGCAGCACTAAAAATGTCGTACTGTGAATAATTTCTGGGATATAAATATTCACGGGTCTTCACATTTATTTTTATTTTATTTTTTATAAACAGCAAGAGAACAGATCAGCATCAAAGGTTAAAGCTCTGTGTTACATCTCCTTCCCCCTCATGATGCAGGAAGTGAGAGACAAAAGTTCCAGGGAAAATAACATTTGATTAGAACGTCCAGGGAAAGACCCGGGATTCAACTTAACAGCCTCTTAACCTTTTCCACCAGCACAGCACCAGCTGCACTCCTTTCCTCATTTCCACCGACCTCAGAGGCGGTGCTCAAACGTTGACACTGGCAAAACACCACAAAACTGATGGGTGCAAACTTAGAATCTGATGTTAAAGGATATGGGAGTGGTAACCACAGGAAATTAACTGATGACTGGCAGATGTAGCCCACAGATTTCGACCACCGTGATTTTCTTCCCACAGAAATTACCACAAATTCTTCTAGCAATAAAACATAACAAGGGGTTATCAAATCTGCCAAAACGTTGGCTGGTTCTTAATAAAGAGGCAATTTCTGCCCCCATAGACTGCTGTTACAGGACAATTAGCAGGAGAAACAACAGTAGAAACTGAGCGCACTCTACAAACTGCTGATACAGTACACTGTCAGATGCTGTGACCTTCTGTGAATTATTGTCCAGGTTTCCATTGAGGACACAGGGTAATCTCATCCCACATCAGGGGTGAAAGGTCAGTTTTATGCTACCTAGATAGAAAACCACAGATACTAACTATGGCGTGCTAAATTTCAAGGAGGGAAAAAAGCCCAACTTCAACCCCTAAGTGCTCTCACATACACCTGAATCATAGAAATGGGGTAATTGAAACAAAAGGGCAGAGTTTGACAGAGATGTAGTGCCTTCACTGGGCCTCTGCACAGACTGCAGAAAATAAACCCAAACTCCTCCCCCTCTGTCAGGTTCATCCTCCATGTGTCCTTCCTTTACTCCTCAAGATAGCCATTTGCAAATGATAAGTGTAGGGACACAGCCTGTTGAAAGATAAGGCGCTTGGGAATTTGTCACCAAATGGAGCGTGCTCCTCCGCTGTTCAAAGCTGACCCTTGTTGACGTGCACTGTTTACCTTTTATTCATTCATTCTGAACTATTATCTCAGCCTTCATTAATCACGGTAACTCAAACTGAGAAAATGACTTTTGCGAGACTTGGACAGGAAAGGGATTAACTCATTTCATCCGTTTCTGCCGTGCAAACAAATGATTAAAAGTGAATAATAATGCAATACATTTGATCCGCTCGTTCTCGGAAACAAGCAATCCAGTTTGCTCCGTCATTTTGATATCATCCAATTCAAATTTTGCGAGCTAAATTCATCGCACGCATGTGTACTCCTCAAGAGAGAATTCGTTTTAATTCCTTACCGTTCCCTTGGTGTAATTGCCTCCTCGCTTGATATGCTCTGCATCTGTACATCATGCTAATTTACCGTGTATCAGCAGTTGAGAAAATAATTTTAAACAAAAATTTCCCTCCCACCACTGTTCAAGTCTCCCCCCCTTTGTCTGTGTCATTTGTATTCATCTCCCACGACTGCAGGGAACGAAAACTCTTTCTGGTTGTAAATTATCGCTTCCCCGTAAAAGACCATATCCCTGCAAATACATGGCGATCATTTGCCATGCATTAGCTACGGGACAAAAACGAAGTGGTTTTAAATTCCTCTGACCAGAAGGCAATTTCCCCCAATAAATTATGTTAATTTCTGCTTTCGCTCTCCTTATCGCATTCTTTAGTGAGTCAATGAGGAGAGACAAAACTGGCTGTGAGAAAGACAACTCTGGGATGATTCACATTAGAATGATGAGAGACATCTGGCAAGAGAATCCCTTACAATACTGTACTAAGAAACGGGGACTCACAAATTGCTGTATTATGCAACAGACTTGTGGTTGTTGTCGTTTAATGGCCATCCCCTTGCATCAGCACAAGGTTTACACCCCGTGGAAATTGCTCTGAGGTGACTGTTCGCACAACTAGGAAGGTGCTTGATACCAAATCCCATGCTCCCTCGCTGAACCAGACAACTATCGCTTGGCAACGTTCTCACTGGGCAGATGAAAAACAAACAAATAATTCTGATTCTTGCTGCATGCAGGAACTAACAGGACATTAATAACAGGCAACAGACCAAAGTTTGAATACAGGGTAAAACACAGAAGGAACAGGAATTGGACTAATCTGCAGGCATCCACCTTAGACACACACACACACACACACACACACACACACACACACACACACACACACCCCCCCTTGTGGAAACACCCTCCCACATACACAAAAACAACACACATGCACCTTGCATACTGAAAACATCAAGTGCTGTGCACACACACGCACACACATACACACACACAAACTGGCAAATCAGAACGGTTCTTTGTTCCTGAGGCTGAAAGCGTACCTACCCCCTCTGTCCGGCCCGTCAGATCACTCACAACACAGTGAAAGGGAAAGTGCTCAGCTAGCTCAAACTTAGATTGACAGGCCTACCTTTATTACTGAGTGAGTTATGTTTCCCTGCAAAAAAGACAAACCGGCTTTGATACTGACGAATGCCTAGTCAGCTCTTTGCCTCGCTACAGAGGACAGCTCGACTGAACTCGGCCGAGTCTGTCCCAGTCCTGATGTCGAAAGAATTGGCTTCCAAATTACCTTCCGATTCATTTCTGGATCTCACTTTAGCCTTAAAAAAAAAGAAAAAAAAAAGTGGCCACTAAGCTGTGATAGGTGCCTGGAGGGCTGCCTGTACTGACCTGATGTAGTGACAAGACTGAAACATGGAGAGGAGCGGTCTGGAAGGAAATGTGATATAAAAGAAAGACAGAAGAACGGGGAAGTGAGAAGAAATTTCACAATTAACCCCACATCCATCTCCCTCTATACATAATATATTCTCTTCAGGGGTCATGAGAAAGCTGTGAGCCTTATCCAGAAAGCAGTGAGTGACAGGCAGGGAAACACCCTGGTTAGAGCTCCAGTCCATCACCGAGCGAACAAAGAAACTGCAAACACCTTTGGGAATTCAGAGTCTTGAAAATCGACCTACAACCGCCGGTCTTTGGATTGTGGGAGGAAACCAGGGCACGCACAGGAAACCAAATGAACACGGCAGGAACACGTAACCTCCACACCAAAACAGTTTACTGCAAGGCAATGGCGCTAAGCCGCTGAACCACCACGCCACCCATATAGAACCCAGGAACCCCATCAAAACACATCACTTCCAACATGAATCACAAACTGACTTGTAAATGCCAGCACACTGCTACTTACTTAGCTTGATATATGGAGGTCCCTCGAGCATGACTGTTTATTTAATCCTAATATATTCATAATTATACCCTAATTAATGCAAGGGAGGAAAAAAAAAGCCCGCTGAATTCATCATCTCGGTGTCCTGAAGCACAAGACACAAATACAGCAACTTTAACATGTTTTGCCTTCCGTCCAAAGCAAGGTTAACAGTTTGGATACGAGCGCGAGGCAAATGGTGTGCGGAAACTCTTGGGTTTTGGATCCTCACCAGCAGCTTCCAGCTGTGTGGCACAGTCAGGGTGATATTTAGCATCAGAGGGAATGTTTAAATAAAGTGCTTTAAACAGTCCAAGTGCTGAACTGTGAAATAATGCGTTATGAGCAACAGTGAAATTGACTGCATTGGCTGAATAACTAATGTGGACGTTAGATGGCTGGTTTGATTGTGCACCATGGTGAATATTAGGGGTCAGTGAACAGCACTCGGTTGAGTTGGATTTGTCCAAAACTGAAAGAGGCATTTGCACAGCTGGTTGTGATCATGAGAACATTTTTCCTTTAAAAAAAAAAAATCAATATTAAAAGAGTAAGAGTATCTTATAGCTCATTTTTCGAAAAAGGATTTTGCTGCTGTGAGAAACTTCCATCCTCGGTGCTTTAGTCCACCTATCTTGTTGATGATTGTTTAGTGCATTTGCATGCAATCGGGGAACGTCTGGCCAAGCTACACCATAAAATCTAACTCATCAGTGCGAGTAGGTCGTCTACCAACTCAGTAAAGCTGTCAGCATACTGCAAATGCAGCAGGAATGACTCCTGGCCGGAGAGAAACGTGGAGTTGAACGATGCTGTCTGCAGCCAGCCGGAGAGGCTGTGACTACACTACGGTGTCCTCCACACACACACACAGAGCTCGGAGATTTAATAAGACAATCACGAGGGTGGCGTTACTGAAGGTTGTTTATGTGGCAGGAGGAAAGGAGCGCGACGTTACTGGGCACGAGCTTTTATTGTCCGCGGGCCCCGTGTCTGCCCCAATCATCTTTTTTATTATAGTTCTGATTTCCCCCTCTCTCGGGCAGGTGTAAGCCCCAAGTTACACGACAGCAGGAATAAAAACGCGTGCCATAAACTTCTCGTTGCTGCTTCGAATTTTAAAAAGAAGAAGAATTTGTCTGTAAGTTTTAACCTTGGTAGTCACGTCTGAACCCCCCCCCGTAACCTTGAAGGTGTAGGCTAATTGACGAGTGCTGGTGCTAGCAAATTAGGGAATAATAACGACCGCCAACAACGTGCGCACCGGAATTTCGACAAAAACACCAGCAAACAACTTGTCACGTGCAAGCCTTCTAGGTTTTCCCAACACACAAACTGTTTACCAGTAAAATAAATCAAATAAAATACAAATAATAAAAAGCCGAAACAGTTTAATTGCAGCCCAACTCACCACCAGTGCAGGTGAAGCCAGAGAGGACGAGCCAGAGCGCAAGGAGCGTGGCGCTGAGCCTACAGCGGACAAAGGGGCCCAGAAGTAAGGGCATCTTCGTGGGGTTTTTTTTCTCTATCACCTAAGTTTTACAAAAAGGCAGAGACGAAACACGGGCACACTGGGCTTTTTAAAGGTCCGGAGAGTGTCCTCTGTAGCACTTCACGCCTGTTCTGTTTTTTCCCCTCACGCCCAAGTCCTTTCCTCAGCACATATCCTCCTGCCGTAGCGTGGCCATCAGTATCCCGGTCGTGCGTCTTCGTTGCTCAGAACAACGCATCACAGGTGTGGTAAATAAACTGCTGCCTCGCTCTCGCCTCCGCGGGTCTTACTGTAGTCTACTGTATTTCTCCAAAAGCAGCTATCCGTTCACAACTCTCCCTCCGTCTCGGAGCCGAGGAGGGTGTTTCTTTGCTTTCTTTCTTCTCACTTTGCTGCCTTCGCGCGAAAGAATACCTTCTCCAAATGCGAAAAGGGAGAGAACTGGCATCGGAGAAAGAACATCTGCTTGCACAGCAATGCTGAAGTGCTTAGAGTCAGGGGAAGGTATAAGCTGCGATGGACGGAGGCGCAAAACCAGGAACGGATTTTGCCTGCACGCTGGGATCGGAGCGCCCTGAGCGCGCCCTACTGCTTTCTCTTAGACAAACAATACATATCTTATAATACGCAAAACTAACCACGCGCTGGGAAAATGCGCATAAAAATGGAAATGATTTCATTCACATCCACGCAATTTGTTTGTTTTTTTTCTTCTTTTTTTTCACATCTTCTGCCTTACATGAAAATGATGGATATGACATTCAGCTATGCAGGATAGGAATCACATGAGTGCTTTGCATACAGATTCACACAAATCACATCTGCATGTCGTTGAGGTTCAGTTACATATGCCTCTGGATTGTCCGTGTGCGTCTGCGTGTGCATCAGTGATGGACAAACATGGGCGAAGAAGCACGAGGATTAGCACTCCCGTGAGAGCGTACACCTGTCAGCAAACTCACACCAGGATGTGACTTATGTTCCAGATAGCTTTTCCTCATTTTCTGGGGGTGTCAGTGGAGTGATTATCAGACTCTTCAGCCGTGCCTTTTACAACGCTGCCAAAAATCGACAGCAGATTATTAATACACTTCAGAAGGGGAGGGGGTGGTGATGGAAGTGGTGGTGGGGATCGTATCTTTGTTTATCCATTTCTCCACTCCCACATACTAGTCAGCAGAATGATAAGTGAAAGCACAGGACTTGGACCACTGTCTTACCAGCTAATTATGGGGCTCATGCAGATGGATGATTTCTTAGATAGCTCAGCTATTATGCAAACTCATTAAGACCTTCTCTCTATCCAGCATCTCTCGCTAAAGGTCAGAGTCACAGTCGGAATGGCAGAACAAAGCACAGACACATGCACGCACATGCTGAAATAAAGAAAGGCCCTATGGTTCACTATCCACTGCTGACAGGCAGCGTGAATGTGGCGGGCCAGGGAAGGCAGATGTACAGCAGCTGAATGGAAGGGGAATGACTCAGCTTTGGTCACTTGTGAGGTTGTTCGTAATGAACTTTCTCATTCTGCTAATCTGCTCTGAGTCCTATCAGACGCTGCAAGCTGGAGACTGCCTCTTCCAGTCACTGTATATAAATGCACAGTCGGTCATATTATTTTCTTAAAAAGAAGCAGGGCTTGCTACATGTGCTTAAACGAATTATTAGTGTGTTTTCTTGCCGTGGTGAGCAGCTTGCCGAGTCAAGGCAGGTCATAACCTCTTCCACAGTCTTCTGGATCCAGCGTCTCTCTCTTTTGCTCCCTCGATCAGACTACAATGAGCAATCACAGCTCTTTGGAGAGTTGACACATTCAGTTGTTCATCGATCTGTGGTGTTGTAATTAATTTTCTCTCCACCACTGGCTTGACTTAGAATATCCCCAGACTCGATGCAGCTTGTTCTCCTGCAGTCAATTGCAAAACCAAGACGGAGCCATCGTTTCTTTTGTATCACCTCGACTGCTTCAGAGCAGCTAGCTTTTGATGGCTTGATAAGAAATAAGGAAACTTGGGCGTGACGTGCTGCTGTTTACAGATTAATAAACTGTTGGGCATCCTTCCCTAAAATTGCACAATTACACTCCCCAGGATATGCACCCTATTAAGACGGAATCACCAAGTCAATAAATATTGATCCGAAGAAGGTGTCCAGTGTGAAATTAATATTATTTATTGTTTGCAAACAACGCAGGAAGTCCCGGGAGGAGGATGCAACGCAGGACCCAGTCTCCCTTTCAGCACCGACTTGTGGAGAGTGAGGGAGGGTGTATCAGCTTCCATCATGACCACAGCTTCACAGCCTGTTGTTTTGTTTATATCAAATTAAACTGCAATGCTACTCTAGAGAGATATAATTGACCACAGTCTCAGATTAAATGACTGTAAAGATCTTAATAAGCCATCAGTGGATTGCATATTACATTGCAAACCACTTATAAGGATGCAGTCCAATGAGAATTAAACTGGGGTTCATATTTGCATGCCACAGCACTTTAACCATTCATTACCATGCAAAAATGACTGTATGGTGATCAATAGTGTATCACTTTAATTAAATATTATTGATATGGGGTTAGGGAAATTAATTTGGAGCCAAATAAGACCTAGTAGTGTCGGAACAACATGTAAGGCCTTCACATCATAACATCTCGAGTGTTTTTCTTTCTTCTTTTTTAAAATATTCACTATAATAAATAAATGACCAACTCCCCCGACCTTAATGAAATCACAGTGAATGCGGCTATACTTAGGGTTCACATTAAAGACGTTAAAGCGCAGGTTATCTACGAGTTCTCTAAAAGCCATCATCGCCGCTGCATTAGAAACACGACTCCTTATTACTGTATCTACTGCAGCTCTCAATACACTAGTAAAAATGTTATGATCTGGATATGCTAGGCATAGCTGTGACTTTGTTTAATTAAATTATTTCACACAAGTGGAGATAAAATAGCCTCCGTGTGATCTCACCACATCTTGTGCAGTTGAGTGAGGAGCAAAACCAAATGAGAGCGAGAAATGGGGAGTTTAAAAAACAGAAGGGAAGAAAGTGAAGTGAAGGGAGAGCGGTGTGGGGGTGGGATGAAGGAGCCCACTGAAGGTCTCTCATTTCAGCAGCACAGACTGCTGATGAAGCTGAACTTCCAATATCCCACCACTTCAGCTCTGATGATTTCTCAATTTTACAGATATGGCCCAAGAATATGATTTGATGAAAATGTAAAATGGGATAACCACCAAATCATATGAAATGGGCCACATTTTATTCCATGACTATAAATCAAACGCAGACACTCCAAAAATTAAAGTTGATTTTGTGTTTTTGATTCAAAGTACACCTCTCCCGACTCGGAGGAATCGAGATATGTGCCTCAAATTAAGATTATCTGTCATGGAGATTCCCCGCACACTTTGTAAGTGGAAGGACTCGATTGTTAAGAGAAAGCCCGGCAATTTTGACCGTAGAGTTGTTCCAAAAGAGAATTTATTCATTGAATATGTTTCCATCCCAAATAGATTCTGCCTAATCTAAAACAGTGCATGAGCGTTTGGAAATATATGATGATTTCATTTTCTTTCAGTCTCAGGGTCATAAATAAATTTGCATTCTGTCAGCAAAATGGGCTAACTGACTTGTAATTCATCAAACCCACTGCTCAGAGCTTAAACAGTTCAACACATGGTAACCTATTTTTGTGGGTTTCTTTTTTTCGCAGAGTTGCCTCGCAGCTGTGTGCTCTCGTAGGTGAAAAAGAGGGAAAAAAGGCACACTTACATTTTAAAAACCTCATGCAAAATAAAATAAAGAAGAGAAATTAACACCGACAGTGACACACTTCAGGGGGCAGACTTTCATTCTGAAAGATGCATCTGTATAAGGAGCTGATTGCAAATGTTAACAAAGCCTACGGTATCTAATCACGTCCGAATGAACGCAATTTGCCCAACAACACCCAAAAACAGGATGTGCGTTCATTCTTTCCACTTAAAATAGTTTATACCAATACAAAATTCTTTACGCTTGACAAAGTATGAGATTACAGCTTTACTGGAACGACTTCAGCAGACAATGGGTGACAGTAAAAAGTGTCAGACGGAACGTTTTTTCCCACAAGTTTTTTTTCCCACCCATCTACATTTCATTATTCTCAAAAAAGCAAAGGAAAAAAAAAAAGATTTCCTGAAGTGTGCTTCCTGGACCGACACTCTTGTTGTCACAATGTCTAAGCGTGCATGGGAGAGGAGACTTTGAATGATGTTGAATGTTTTATGACTCCCTGCTTTTGTGTCAGTCCTTTGGAAAGCTGCTCTGAGACTCTGATAGGAGAACCTTGCCTAACACAGCTGAGTGTGACAGCGTAATGTGGGAATAACACACAGACCAGCCACACTTCCTTTCAATGTGACTGGTCTCAAGACTAAGAAAATGTAACCTGAAAACATATTAGGGTAAAAAATTGTGGATCTAATTTAATTATTATTTTTTTGTTAGTGTAAATTTCAAAGAGTGGTGCTGTTAATAGTAACGGTAACCGTGGCAGCAAGTACAAAAAACATTGACAATCTCATTTTAATAATACTGCTGTTTTAGAAGCTGTATTATTAAAAGCAAATGTACAATTCACTCCACAGCAAGCACTCACCGGACACTTTGTTAGGCACACCTTGCAGTTGTTAGGTTGGCATCCGTTTTGCCTTCAGAGCTGCCTTAATTATTTGTGACACAGATTCAACTCAGAGATTTTGATCCATATTGACATGATGGCATCACACAGTTATTGCATATTTTCCATGATGTTATCTTCCATTCTACAACATCCAAAAGGTGAGATCTGCAGACTGTAGAGGCTATTTCAGTACAGCTAACTCTAACTAACCCTCATGTTCAAGAAGCCAATTTGAGATGATTTTGTGACATGCTGGGAGCAACCTTCAGAAGATGGGTGCAGTGTGGTCTTAAAATGATGGACGAGGTCAGAAATAATATTCAGGTGGGTTGAGGTGTTTAATTAATGCTCAGATGGCTCTAAGGGGCCAAGAAAATATCTCCCACACCATTACACCACCACAAGCTGCCTGAACTGCTGAGACAAGATAGGATGGGTCACTGTTTTCACGTTATTCATTTTCCCATTATTCTAATGTGTGATTTGGTGAGCCCACGTCAATGAGCATGATAAGAACGGCAACCGGTGTGGTCTTCTGCTGCTGTAGCCTAGCTGCTTCAAGGTTTCACTTGTGCATTCAGAGATGCTCATCTGCATACCTTGGTTATAGCGAGTGGTTATTTGAGTTTCCTATTAGCTCAACGCTGATATGTAATCATTCTCCTCTGACCTCTGGCGTCAACAAAGCATTTTTGCCTAGAGAACTGCTGCTCAGTGGATACTATTCTCTGTAAACTCTGGAGATGGATGTGCAGGAAAATCCCAGTAGATCAAAATGCACAACCCAGCAAGTCTTTCTTTCCCAGTCTGATGCTTGGTTTGAACTTCAGCAGTGGACATCATTAACAGTTACTGTCTGTTATTGTGCAGA